ATCTATGCTGACATTTTGATATTTTTCGTCAACATGGAGTTCTCCCGAAGATCCTATGCCAACAAACTTTTCGATGAAAATTTTGTCTTGGGAATGGTTTCTCCGACATTTTTTATACTTTCGCTGTCACTTTTCTATATCAGTAAAAATGTATTCTAATAGTGATGATACGTATTTCACTTTCAATTTTTTAAAAGGGATGTCGGCAAAATTAGTAATTTTCCCAAAGCAGATTTGATTTTTATACATCTTTTGAAAATTTTAAGTTTTTTAATCTTTTGCTTACATCACTGAAATCATGTATTTGAATTTTCCAAATCTTTTTCTCTTCCAATTTTTCTACTATCTCTCGTCTTTCTCTTTCTTCCTATTCTTTGTATTTCTCTCCTCTCTTCTCCAATTCTTCATCTTTCATATTTCTTTTTCTCTTCTGTTAAACTTTTATTAATTAAATTTCGGTACAAATTATTTTTAGAATTCAGTTTTGATAAAAATAACACATCCCTACAATTTCTCCAAACTACATAGATTTCGCAAAATCAATACTAAGATTTTTTAAAAAAATCTCAATCTCTAAAATTTCCATAATAGAAACTCCTTAATTTGTTCACAGTTAATACCAAATTCAGGAACGTATCCAAGCTCACACCTCGATACAAAGTCGTTGGAAAGGTAGAGGCAGTTGAATGGTAAAGATCTGGAGGATGAAATACTAAGGGTTTGATTTAAAAAGAAAATCAAATACTCCGACGAAGCGGCAATCAGCAACGCTACCCAAATGAAAACGAAGCTGGTTGTTGGAGTGCGCTCTCGCTCAGTTAGATCTCACTCTCGCTCGGTCGCTCGGTCAAATCTCCTCGACCAGATCTCGCTCTCGAGCGGCCAGATCTTGCTCTCACTCGGTCAGATCTCGCTCTTGCTCGGCCCAAATCTCGCTCTCGAATGGGCCAGATCTCCCTGTCGCTCTCGTTCGAACAAGATCAGAAAGAGTGGAAAGTTAATAAACAGGCGGCGATGGCAATCGGAGTGAGTGAGAGAGGCGAATGGAGAGAGAGGTGGGGGATGAGAGTCTGCTGCTGGGCTGCGTGACTTTTAGAGAGAGAGGAGGTGTGAGGAAGAGAGAGAGAAACATTAAACTAAAAAAATCATATTTTTAGAGACAGAGATGCTCCTTTATGAAATTAATTTATCATATCCCATAAATCTCGAAGTTTTTTTTTTAATTCTAAATATAACCGAGTTCCATATCATAGAATCAAATCACAACCCATGTGATTAGTAAGATTTTTTTAGTTTTGCATCTGATAAAAGTGTTTCTGATTTTGGAGTTAGAGATTTATGATATTGATAAGTTAGGGTTTCAAAATGAGTCTTTTGCCAATATTTTTATAGAGAAAACTCAATTTTGTTCATGATTTTGAGAAAAAGTCGAACGAGAATGAGAGATAAGGACAAGAGAGAAGAAGAAAAGTTAGGATAGAGGAAGAATGATGGCTATTTTGAAGATATTGAATAGCTATGTGAAACAAAATCTGGAAAATGGAGGTAGAAATAAATGGAAGAGAGAGAAGAAGACAATGAAGAATGGAAAGGAAGAGAAGAAGACTTTTTTATTGTTTTTAGATTGGATCGAAGAGAGATAAGAGGAGGGAAACTAAAGAAAAAAAATAATAAGGGTAAATGCTTCACACAAAAATGACATAAGCAAAATGTTTAGAAAACATAAATTTTCAAAAGTAGGGGAAATATCATTTTGAGATAATGTCTTGGACGGACTATTTTGGAAACTTATTTTCGTAAATGTTTAATATTTACAAATTTTACAATTTTAGGTTTTTGGATTTAAAACTTTTTCTAAATGTCAAATTTACTCTTATTTATGACATTTATATTTATTATAATTAGTTTTTTATTTAAATGTAAAAGATTTAATGTTCCAAATTTGATTTTTTAAACATTAAATCATTATGGCCCCAAATTAATTATTCTCATAACCTTCTAATTTATTCCTTAATATATTCTAACTAAAGAATGAAATTTATTACAAAATATAATTTACTCCCTAATATATTCTAACTAAAGAATGAAAGTTATTACAAAATATTTTTTCATTTCATTCTAACTGTACAATCAATATAACAGACAAGCCAAAAGTACATACAAGTTAACAGCAAAACATGAGTACAACAGCATAAAAATAATCTCATTATAACAGCTACCGTTATAACATAAACTTATATGGAGATATAAACTATATCTGATTACCATTGTAACATAAACTTATATAGAGATATAAACTATATCCGACTATAAACTATAAGTGTTGACTGTAGTATGAAGAATCGATTCACCAAAATCAAGCTCGGGTAAACTTATATATAAACTGTAAAGCATATACGAGTATATCCCACTACAATTAACAAACAAAGCAATAAACTACATAGTCAAATAACACACTAGCATATGCTAAAAAAATCCATAGACTAGGATAATCCCCCATATTGAAAAATTGTTTTTAACAATACCTCAAACTCGAACACCCAAAATTGAAAATCAGAAACAAACCTAGAAGTTTTAAAATGTAAACGGTAGAAAACAGGCTGCCAAATAATGGTGCAAATCGAGCGAATCGAAAACGGGCTACCGGAGACGGCAACGACAAAAAAACGAAGAAGACTAGGAGATGGCCTGTTGGAAACAATGGTGAAAAGCTAGACAGGATGCTGCCAACGAGGGATGAACGAGACAGACTGCTGCAAGCGAGGGAACGGAGAAAACGGAGAAGACTGTAGAAAAAAATGGTGATTTTTATGAAGAAGACGAAAAAACCGGTGACGGGTAGTTGTTTTAGGATGAAGAAGACAAAGAGATTTGGGTATTTGGGTATTTTTTTATTTTAGGAAAGTGAAAAGTTGCACCAAATAAGAATTTAAAATTTAACCCCCAAATCAATCATTTTGAATTTTCGTAATTTAATAATATTTAAATGTATATAAAAAATGATATATTGGTTAATTGTTGATGGGTTCGTTTTATTTTAAGACAAATTTTGTAGAATGAATCCCAAATTATAATATCTAAAAAGTTTATCAATATATTAATCTCAATCATTTTTGTCTTGGGGAAATTGGGGTTTCTAACCCTATTATATAACTCATTTGGATTTTTGACCCATTTCTAAAAACACCTAATTTGTGACTCCTACCCTTCTAATTTGTGACAATTTTTCCACTTTTTGTCTTTGTAAAATTACCAAATATCCATTTTTTTAAGTAAAATTATTCACCAATCTCTCCCCTTTTTAACTCTTACAATTTTTTTTAATTTGAATCTAATATGAAAAAAAAATCAATATTTTAATTTAGGAATAAATTACTTAACAATCGAATCCACACAAAAAATCCTCCAATAAGTAAATTAAATCCTCCAATAACTAAATTAGGGTGAAAAAAAGATTTGCATGATCCATGCATTAACGGTTCGAGATTTAATTGACAACAAATAGGGTCAGGGGAGAGAAGACCCAAAAAAAAAAACTAGACTGGATTGGTCCGGATCTCGGTCCGGGTTTGTTCAACCAAGTCCTTTTTTTTTTGTCTTCTCTCCCCTCTTGGCTCTATTTGTTGTCAATTAAATATTGGGCATTTATGGCCCAAATTTTATGAAATCATTGACCTTTTTTTAATTAAATCCGGATAAATCTTATGTAATTATGTACATTCAATTTTTCATATTAAACAATTAAATATATAATATTCCATTTTTTAATTTTAACTTTTTTTATTGATTTTTTCAATATTAAATTTTTAATTAAATTTTTGAGTTATATTTTTTTCTATTTGTAAATGATTTTTCAAGTTTAAAAGTCAGATTCTTAAAGTTTGTAATGGATTATTGTGAGAGATTTGTAAAGGGAATAAATATTGAAAAGAAATTTGTTTTTTCTTATAATGAGGAGGGAGAGATTGTTGATTTTGAAACACGAGGTACCACTAAGGTAAAAAAAATAAGAGGAGTGAGGTCACAAACTAGTTTTTTCCAGGAATGAGTCATAATTCCGAAATGAATTATTAAAAAGGTCATAAATCTCAAGTTCCCTTTTTTCTTGGGGAGATAGGTTATTCAACCCAAGTTCAGTTCAAAAATTTATTAAATGGAAAATGAAAAGCTCAATGACCTCTATTCGACACTTCTTACAGTTTAGAGATTAGAGACTTATTAGAAATTTTTTTAAGCGAAGAGAGCTATTATACTCAACCTTAAAGTTTAAAACCCAAACTTTCAATTTAACCAACTTGACATCAAAATATATTAATTAGTATCGATATATATCAATGTGCCAAAATTATCTTTACATGAATGTGTCAGGACATAACTGGATTCTTAAAATTGCCAAGTTAATAAATTTTATATTTAATTTCATATGTATAATGTTAATCATAATCTTTTCAAGTCTGTCGTACTTGGAATAACTAAAAGAATTTTATTGTGTCAACTTGAATGTAATTCAACTGGTTAAAACATATATATTTGATTAAAAGATTTGAATCCTCACAATTAATATCATAGAATTCCATCGCAAAACCAATTGTAGAGGAATAATCAATGTCTATTATAAACCTTTGTTAAGCTTTTTATTTTTTAAATGTAGAATCTTTAACAGTGACTCCCACGTGTGTTTTTAACTAAAGATATAATTCTAAAAAATATTTTTTTCCAAGAATTTTTACAGTTTGGATCACAGAACGAACTGGAAACAAGAATGGGCCAATTTTAAATATAATATAATGTAATTATATATCATAGTATTGTAGGTGATAGATTTTAGAAAATGAAGAGAGTAGCATTCAAATTTCAGAAAAATAATTTCCAGTGAAATACGGCCATAATTGGGCCGGGCCAGAGATTGTGGGCCTGATAAGAATGGAACAGAGCCCAAAATAGTTCCCGACCTTTCGGTCCTTTCTCCCTCCCCGAACTCTCGTCGTCGTTTCGTTAGTAACCCCAATTCCGAAGACCGAAGTTCCCAAAACATTTTTCTGCGCTAAAATTGTTTGAGAAATTAGCAAAGAAAAAAGCTTCTCCAAATTGTGCCCACTGCGGAGCGGGGGTTTTTCAGATGAAGGACCCGTTGGAGAGGACGAAAGTAGTGATTCGCCACTTGCCCCCTTCTCTCCCTCACTCAGATCTCTTCCACCATATTGATGATCGATTCGCTGGTCGCTACAATTGGTGTTACTATCGCCCCGGAAAGACCAGGTTCTACTTTTCTTTTTCCCTCTTCTTTCTTCTAATTTCATTCTGCTTTCTGGCTTCCCCCCTAAAATTTGCTCTTACAAACTAGTTTTTCAGAAATCTGGAGGTTGAATAAGGCTGTCGCGAACTGGGTATTTCTCGTAATATGTTTTTTTCCCTTTCTCTGGGGTGGTTTCGGCGGTTCGGGTCCGGGGGTTTGATTAGAATGATATGGGAGACTTTTTTCTCCTCCCCAATTTCATGCCCAATTGTTCTGTTTGAATGATTATCATCTCGGGAACTTAAAGCAAGCAATCGTTCTTGGGTTTGTGATTGTCGGATTAGAAATGGGGCTTAGTTGTTACTTTCTTATATTGTAGAAAGTAGACGTGAATGACTAACTCTACTTCCTATTTTGCCTTTCTTTTGGTTTTTATGGACCAAAGCTCACAATACTGAGAGTTTTTTACTCATTCAGAGGTTTCTTCTGAAATAATTTTGCAGTCAGAAGGACCAGAGATACTCCAGAGCCTACATAGATTTTACGAGACCTGAAGATGTTTTTGAGTTTGCGGAGTTTTTTGATGGGCATGTTTTCGTTAATGAGAAGGGTAAAGCCAAAAGCTTTTCTTTTTCCTTTATTCAACTTATTATGAATGGCCTCTCGTTTCTTACGGTACATGGTGGGTGGTTCATTGAAGTTCCAACTCGTATCTGAGAAGTTGGGGAGAGTGCCAATTTAAGAATGAAATCAATGGTTAATTTGGTTGATATATACGTGGAGAACCCCTTCAAGACTTTTTTATTTGCATTTTTTTGATCGAATATGTACTGCTGTCGAGATTGTGAGAATGGTTTGTGTTTGGACCTGGTTTGGTTCCATACATAATAGAGTCTTGATTAAAAACTTATTTCTGTTAAATGACTACAGGTACTCAGTATAAGGCTGTAATTGAATATGCACCATCACAGCGTGTTCCCAGATCATCTACCAAAAAGGATGGTCGTGATGGGACTATCTATAAAGGTAATAATCGGTTAGAGGGAACTAGATGGAAAACTTATTGTTCTTTTTCTATATTGCTTATTCTGTTATGTAAACTATCTTCTTCTTCCTTTTTTTTTTTTCTTGAAAGCAGATCCAGATTATTTGGAGTTCCTCAAACTTATTGCAAAACCTGCTGAGCATCTTCCAAGTGCTGAAATACAGTTGGAAAGAAAAGAAGCAGAACAATCTGGTTTGTTATTATGCTCGCTGACCAATTTATTGAAAGTATTTGCATTTGTTAAGTCTTATGTGGAATCATCTTTTTTAATTATCATGTTATATCTGCTCCCTTGTATTCCAAATATGTTTATAATGTAAAATAGGGTACTAAAAAGTTGCTGAATAGTTGTTCTGTAACTCTGCTAAGAACTCCTGTTGAGATATTATTCAGTTCAAATTCAGATATTCTAGAACTAGAAGTTTTATGTTTTACTTTGTTTCCAGGTGTTGCAAAAGAAACCCCAATTGTTACCCCTCTCATGGAATTTGTTCGCCAAAAACGGGCAGTTGAGAGTGGAACTCAGGTGAGATTTCTGTATACTTAATACATGGGCCTGTGTACATTATTTGAAAAATTCAGAAAATGAAACTGCTTGCTTATGAATGTGAAGGTTGGGACCGGTTAATTTTAATCCTGTCTTTGTTCCTACTTTGAGTCTTTAGACTTCGAATAAATTAGAAAAGAGAAAGAATACAACTAACGAGGTATTGGTTCTCCAATTGGGTCAAATTCTATACGTTGACATTTCTATGTTATTTTCTGCTGCGTGTGTATAACCATTTCAGTTTGTTTTCCTTTCATATGGGTTAATGCCATGCATGATATGAATACAAATGCTCTTGGGATGGTTGTCTCTTTGGTCTTTAAGATTTTTGTCCTCTTCTAAATCATAATGTAATAATTTCTCATTTTGGTTCAATAGGGATCTTCAGTATCTCGGAAGGTTAAAAGAGGAGGGGGAGCATCCTCTAGAAAGCCCGAGTCAAATTCCATGAAGCGAGGGATGGAGAAGAAGAAGGCATGTGTTACTTTTTCTACTTTATTCAAACGTTGTAAAGTTTATAAGTATGAGTTTGGTAGTCTCTCCACTCCATTATTTCCCTGCCTTCTGTTTTAGGGGAAATAAGCTTTCTGAGCTTGTCTTACTTAGATTTAAGGATGGTGAAGCAGAATGTTATAGTATCAATGGCTGTGACACTGCAGAAACCAACCTAAATTTGGTACCAGTTTATTTTAACTTTTCTTGGTGGGATTTGTATGTATATGGTTAGGTTTTGACTAACTGAAATACAAACTATTTCATGATGCACTACCTGATGGTTCTAAACAGTGAACACTAAATTTTGAGCCCTTGGTTCCCCCTGCTCCTAGATTTATCCATTCAATCCATTGCAATCCTTTTTGTGAATAGTTTGTTGTGTTTCTACATTTTATATCTGAAGATTTTAATTATATTTTCTGTTAAACATGCAGTATATTTTAAAAGACAGTGTGAAGAACACAAACCGCAGAGACAAGTCAAATTTTATTTTGGTGCCCAGGCGAGATGACCAGCCAGCCACTTCAAGTGGAATTGGAATTTCTGATGTTACTACAGGTACTTCTATTTAATCATTGATATCACTGTTGTTTTTGTTTAGTTCCAAGTTATGAATCCAATAATCAGAATTGTCGAGGCCTCATTTGGTAATCATTTGTGTTCTTGTTTTCTGTTTTTGAAAATTAAACTTATAATCACTACTTTCACTGGTTTATTAATTTTGTTATCTTAAAAACATTTTCAAACTCTAAGTCAAGTTTTGAATGCTAAAAAAAGTAGTCTTTAAAAGCTTGTTTTTGTTTTAAAAATTTGGCGAAGGAGTGACATGTGTTATTAAAAAATGCGAAACATATATAATAATTGTGGGGAAACAAGTATAATTTTCTAATACAGAAAACTAGAATCTTATGGTTATCAAATGGGTCTGCTGTATACCGTCTTTTCAATTCAGTGTTCCAAGTTGTCTAGGTGCAAGGGAACATTAGCCTATTTGATTTTAGTTAGAATCCACACATCCCTTCCCTTATCAGTATGTGGACAACTATCTCTCGAGCACAGGTTTAGGTTCAGCCTCAATGGAAAATGAAGCACCTAACAACATATCTTCAAAGACCAAGAACTATTGCGTATTTGCAACTTCTAAATAATTTGTTCAATGCACACTTATTAGAAGGATGATAATTCCTTCTCTGAAGAGTTCTAATTACTATTAATGTTTTTTCCCATTTCAAATGATCCTGATCCCAGTAGTAATGGTCCCCTAAAATGTTTATTTCTCTTGATCAATAATATCGTCTTGTTTCTTTCTATGATTTTGCCATATTGTGATCTGCACATTGAGGGTTGTAATGTTTGAGCATGCCTGTTAACACATGCAAATTCATTATTAGTTTTCCTTAAACTCCTGGATGTTATCCAAGCGATGGATGGGATATCTTTTTGTTTGTTGTATTAAATTATGCTTTAAAAAAACCCCTCCACTGGACAATAGGTCTGAAATTTTGGGTTATGTTGTTTACTTACACTGGATTTTGCTACACACTTATTTCTCTTGATTTGTCAATATGCTCCACCTGTTTATAATGAAGTTGCAGTCTAGAATTTGAAGGCTCTGTTTCATATGTATCTGTAACAGCTGACTCTGGAAAGAAGAAAATTCTGCTTCTCAAGGGAAAAGAGAGAGATATATCTCATGTATGGTTTTTAAATTCTCTTGACTGGTTATGCAATTTCAATTTTTGCCTCTCTTTCTTAAGATTTATGAACTTCTGTGAATGAGCTTAATCTTCACCCAAGGCCAATTTTGGAGGGGAACGAATTCCATCTTTTGCGACACATTTTGACACTAAACTTTATCTATTTCATGAATGATAATCCTTTACAGGTTGCTGATGGTATGTTACACCTGCAGAGTGCATCATCCTCGGGGAATTCTCCTACTACTGCTACAAAACAGAATCAGAGACGTGAGGCTAGTGGAAGCTTGATCAGAAGCATCCTTTTAAATAATGAACCACGTCATGGACAGGGTTCATCAGTATCCCAGTCTCATCAAAAAATTCAAATCCTGAACTCAGACAACGGGAAGCGGCCACCTCGTCCCATTAATGCTCGATCTGGTTCTAATGATATGTCGAATAATGAACCAAATCCATCTGGTTCGGAAGGGGATGGAAAGAGGGCTCCAGAAAGTAAGTTTAGCAAAAAGGAACTTCATGGCCTGGGTAGTGCTAGTGAGAAGCAAGAAAAGCGAATAAGAAACAAAGATAGGCCTGATCGTGGGGTCTGGGCGCCACGTAGTCGTTCAGATGCCTTAGTCTCACAACTGGATGAATCATCTATTTCGCAATCTAGTCATTTGCTTTCTGACTCGGTTGAAGGTATTACCATTATATCCGTTTGGAAATGAAGAAGTTACTGACTTATGTATTGTACTCAATGATCATATTATTCAACTAGTACAGGACCTCGATTGTTGTGTCAAATCGTCCTGCTTGTGCTTGATGAGTTGGATGATTTATACAGATACTTTATGTTTGACATATGAAATTATGACTCAATATATCTTTATGCCTTTTCAGCTTTCCGTGTGGAAATGAAAGATGATATTCATGGAAGCAGGACTGGGGATGTTACAACCACTGTGAGTGGACGTGGCAGTTCAGTGGAGAATGGTTGTTCTCATAAACTTCTCATACACTGTCCAGCACTTATATTTGGAGATATCAAAATTACTTTCCACCTATTGTTTATCTAAAACATGTTGTGTTTTCTTTAGGTTCTGTTAGACATGTTGGACGTCGTGGGGCTGGCCACGTTATGAAGGATGATGGTTCTTTGAACCCCAATGAAGGGAAGTCATCCAAAAGAGGTCTTGCCGGTGGCCACGAGGTTTGCTTCTGCATTAGAGCTAGTGACAGTATTATCTCTCCTGTTACATGATCACTTCTTTGTCAAAGGCTCATTTTCTTTGATGCCTTTGCAGAAACAAGTATGGGTTCAGAAGTCGTCTTCAGGTTCTTAACATATTTAAACCATGTAAGTCCTTTTACATATCAGCAATATCTTATCTCTTTTAGGACCAAGAGCAAGACTATCTTTTAAGACGTTAATGTCTCGAGAATTCCTACCTTATAACTAAGAAGAGTCAAAATTAACCGGTAGGACATATTTTAAATCGCTTGTGCTACAATTTGGATATATATAATTTGGAATGAAACTTGTGATGGTGCCATTCCTCACATGTTTATAGGTTATTTTAGCATTCTAGAGGGTTTATACTGCTAAAACGTGTAGATGTGGATAATCATTTTAATTCATCTGATCTGTTTGTTAATGGGGGGACAGACATAGTGTATGTTGTAGTTGCTATTGCTATGGAGATCACTATTTTATTTTATTTTATTTGATCATGTTTTTTTTATAGGTAATAGATATTTTGTTTATGTGACGAAATCCCCAAAGTAATGGAAATTACAAAAGGGCCTTTCAATTAGTCTAAGGATCATAAAAACTAAAATTTTCAAAAGGGTGTGTGCATTTACACCAAAACAAAACTGGACATGGACAAGATTCAAAAATCTATTGAAGAAAGGGATTATTGTTGCTGTGTCTATGAAGGTTTGTTATTGTTATTATTTGGCTGAAAGGTGTACTGTTTTAAGCTATCATTAAAAGATGCTACTGTATTGCATTGTGTGCATTCTATGGATTGTATAACAAAAGGCTAATGTGTTGTTCTCCGTTAGATCGTGACGATGTCTATGCTGTCAAACAGATAATGGCATCCAGACAGGACTATGGTTCCTCAAACTTCCAGGGGGATTATCTCCAATTCTGAGGACTTAATGCACATCCTCAGAAGGCATCATCTTGTAAAATGGAGATATGCCCTGGAAGCAGTTGGTAACAGTAATAGGTTTCGTGAACTGGATTGCAAGATTTGCAATTGTTTCGTCGTCGTATACAGGTGGTTTACAAAACACAAAGGTTCTCTGGTTGAAGACCGAATATGCGTTCTATGGATTTTTGGTTTTACGAAATCGAAGTTTCTTTGGTTGAAGACCAAATATGGTTGTGGATTTTGGTTTGGTATGATCTGATTTTTTTGCCCAACATACCAAGTGTGACTACTGCTTCACCTGGAGGAACGTGGCGGTATATACATACGTGGCTCCGAGTGACGGGAAATCAAAGCCAAGAGGGAGGTTCCTACTGTTCTTTCCCTTTGCCTTTGATGTTTTGGTCACATGCCAAGCTTTTTGTTTTCCCTTAGAAGCTGAATGTAGAAAGTACCTAGTAGTACACTCTACTCTCTACTTACCATATTCTCACTGGGGGTGGTCGTGGTTGGTACACAATTGTACTTGATTCCATGCGTGGGGCAGTGAATCAGAAACATCAAACTTATACTTTTTCCATGTCGTATATGAGAAATGTGATGGATTATGATTATGTGTTTCACTTTCTATCCACTAATGTAATTTCACTTCTATTTATTGTTTCTTTGCAATTTCTTTCAAGTGATTCAATTGCAATTTCTGATTTGATTGTCTTTATTCAGAGGATTTAATGGAAGAAATGGAGTGGTTAGAAATATGTATTCCTAAACTTTGAAGTGAAGGTGTAATATCAAAGTTTGATGAAGTTATCAAACTTACTATGCTTTTGGAGGCACTCAAATTATCAGTAATGAACTGAATACATTTGGACAGAATTATTACGTATATGAAAGAGTGATTTATGAATTCAATGGAATTTCTCTAGAGAGATTCAAATCTCCGACTTTTTGGTCAAATATATACACGTAACCAATTAAGCTAGGTATAGATTGACTTGTTTAATTGATTTATTGATTATGGTATGGGTTTTTGTTGATAACCTCACATTCTTAGGGCATCTAGTATGACAAATCTATCTATTTTMAGTGGCTTATTTCTTTTTTTAAAACTCTAACCACCTATTGAGGGTTCTGATTTCTCTATTTTTTTTTTAATAATACGGAGTTAGGTTCTTTTCCTATCGGTATCTAATAGAGCATGCTGAACTCGATTTTCTTCATATAAAACCAACTTTATTTAGAAACTGTGTGCTATGGCTCGAATCCGTAGTCAATCCTATTTACGATAGGAGTAGTTGACAATTGAATATGCTTTTCTCATTATTTTCATTTTTTATCCGTAATAGTGCGAAAAGAAGGAAGATCCAATTCCAAGTTGTTCAAGAATAGTGATGTTGAGTTTCTCGACCCTTTGCCGTAGGATTAGTTAGTTCTATAAAAGGATTTAACTTAGTGGTACGGTGTCACCTTGGCGTGGTGGAAATCATCAATTCGATTTTTACTTGCTCCCCCACCATGATCGAATGATAATGGATAAGAGGCTCGTGGGATTGACATAAAGTAAATATTATTAAGAAATTTTAATATTAACCAAAATTGTATTAAAAATGTTAAAATATAATGGATAAATGATAACTTTTTAAACAAATTAGCTTTATACATAATAGGTAGAGACTAGAGATTTGTATATATATTAAAAGTAACAAAAAGTGGTTGTAAGTACTAAAGAATGCATCTCTTTGTTAAAGGGATTCTATTGGGCTATGAATTTTCATCTTTATTATTATGTTTCATTAATTAGTCCATTACATAACAAACTATTTTAGCCATTAGGATTAATTTTCAACAAATCATTTAATAAACATCTAATATGATATATATTAATATGGTATATATAGCATATAGTCAAAAGTATACTAATAACTAAAAAAAAAGATGAATTATTGTAGTTCTCCGTCCAAATGGCTCTGCTTTAATCCCTAATTTGTTCTTACGTTCCTCTTACTGTATCCGTCCAACCCCGCCTTATCGATTGAATACATAGTGATAGGAGTGGAGTGACTTAGAAAAAATGCAAACCATCAATTTTTTTTAGTACAACACGTGAGGGTGTAGTATCAAACTCACAACTTTTTAGGTTGAGATATATGCCAATTACTATTGAACTATATTCACTTTGACACTCCTTGGCAATGGCCGTTTATTTTCGATATATTTTTGTTGGCGGCGGCTAAATGGGTTATTGGGGATTTATGTCCTGAGGTACATTTATCACTTCTCATTTTCTTTCAACTTTTTAGTTTTTACAAGAACAATAATGATTTTCCTTTTATATCACTAGAAATATCTAACACCAGAAGATGACTGATCTCCGTCCAGCCTTTTTTTGGTTCTACTATAAATAAATAACTTAAAAAGGAAAACAAGAAAGAAAAAAAGAAAAAAAAATTCTTCACTTTGTTCTTTCTATGAGAGAGAGAGGCTAGTTTATGGTATTTGAGCAATTTCCAGGAGGATTTTGTGAAGTGACTGAGGCTTAGAGAAAAAAGGGCAGTGATCACTGGCTTTGATCTTGAAAACTCTTTCAGGTGGGTTTTCCCTGACCAGCTTTTCTTGAACATCAGGCGAGAGAGCGTGATCGTCCAGTGTTTGAATGAAGAATCGTCGCCCGGTCCCGTAGTTTTTGGGGGACAGTGAAAGCTTCTCCATGATTGGACCAAGTGGGAAAGGTCTCATGGAAACCATTGCCAATGCAACATCCTGCATTGCCACCATTTTAATCTTCAGTTCACTCACATCACATATTCTTGTATATTTACATAACTCAGAAACTAAGATAAATTTAACTACACTTTGTTTTTAATAACCGGGAGTCGGAGCTTTGATCCCCTATATCCAAGGGCGCTCGCACCCGTCCCAAGATCCGGACACGGGAGACATTAAGAGTTTTTGGTATTAAGCTCACCAAAAGATTTGAACCTAAGACCTCTAAGCCAATATGACCAATAGATCCCAAGTCCTTGCCAACTAGGCTGTAAACTGGGAGCCTAAATTTAACTACACTTAAGGCAAGTATTCTATGCAAAAGCTTGCTTTCTAGCCAAAGAAACGACAAACGTATTCGAGGAAAGGTCCGAAAGGATGCTAAACTGAACTGGGAAATCATGAATCTCATCTAGCTCCAAAATTTTTTTTTCAAAAGAACAAACCATTAGTTGAGTGAACTTCAGGAGTATTGACCAAGAAAAAGTCTTCCCAAAGTTATGAATGTAAAGAGTGATGCTCATGACCTTGACAAGGCCTAATCACAGTTATTTCAAACAGTTTTCGAATAGTTCTGAGGACTAAAATGAATACCATTTTTATAAACGAAAAACAAAAAAACCCTTGTGGAGAAATTGTTTTGGAAACATTGGAAAGTACCTTTGTAGGAGACTGATTGAAGTACAACCCCTTCATTTGCTCTTTCTCGAACATGAACCCTGTAGGAGGTTTATCTTTTCCATTCCCATAGATAAAAAGTTTTGAGTCTTTCATAAAAGTCTCTTCAGATCCAAGCTGCAAAGCAATTATTTGGAGGGCAAGTTAGAAAATGAAAAACAAAAACTTCAAATAATGTTAAATATTGTTACGAGATGTACCCCATCCGATATTAATTAAGTCACAGAAACGACTGGTAAGTTTATATTATCAACATGAACAAGAGATAAAAGTTCTTAAAATGCATGCTAAGAAACACAACTTTCTATGAGTTATAAATGCTAATCACATACCTCGTCCATGAACACATCAAAAGGTCTCTGGCCAGTAGCCACCATCGTCGCACAGATATAAATTGCTTTCGATATCTTATTCGGAAAATGCTCCAATGCATAAGAAAGACAAGCGCCTCCGCTACTGTGACCTACTAGAACAACCTTCAAAAGACCAATAATTGTTAAGCAGTTTGGTCTGCAGAACAAGCAGGTGATCAAGTGGCTTCTAAAGATTGAAATTAATTTACTTTTCGCATGCCCTTTGAAAAAAGTGTTTTTAAGTGAAGCATTTATTGTATAAGCACTTTTGAAAGAAAATTAGTTAAATACTACCTCCAAAATCACTTTAAGTGCTTTATATCTTATTTTAGAATTTTGCAAACCATTTTTAATAATCACAAAATTTAAAAGTGCTTATGATCAGTCAAAATCACCTTTTACCACTCTTTAAAATTTTAAATAAGTACTTGAACGTGCACTTAAAATCATTCTTTGAAATCCATTTTTTGATCACCCTTTAGAACAAATTAAGAAAAATAAAATTTTAAAGGAAAATCTTTAATCTCGACTCCGAAACAAACAACCCCTAACTATTTGTTATCCAACCTTTTCATCATCAGGAAGATCTTGTAGATAATCAGTCAATGGCTTTGAAAACTCTGCAAGAGTATTCACCCTGTTTGTATCTGTTAGATCAATACCGGAACCTTTGAGATCGATGGCTATGGGAGACAATCCGACTTCCTCCAGTAGAGAAATCGTTTTGTACCAGCACCAAGCTCCAAACCCTTCACCATGAATTAAAACAAATTTTTTTGCTTTCAGATTTTCCAGAAATTCTGGTGCCTGCAAAATGATATGATAGCTCCATTAGTGAAGAACTAACTTTTGGTAAGAAAGATAGCTGGATTTAACATGATACATCTCCATAATCTAATAGAAAATTTGTCTATCTCATTAAAGAGTGGAACTGCAGAAACAGAACAGAATGTTTCTTGATGAAACAGTGTGATGATTCATAAAGGTACAGCATCTGATAACAGAGGGAGGCTAGCAACTGTTTCTCTCTCTTACTTTTCCTTTAAAAAAACAAGAATGTTTTTGGCTAATGAGTATGGGCATTAACAAATTTGAAGGTTAATTATTACAGCTGAACAGTACTGATCATTGCAAAAAGTCTCCAAGTTCAGATTAAGGGTGGGTTTGACATGAATTGAGGGATAGTGAAAACTGCTTTTAGCTATTTTAAAAGTTAATTTCCAAAGAACTTTTGAGAAGTGTTTCATGAGAATAGTCCATAATGCTTGGTTACAAAGTTGAAACTTTTCAAAAGAATTTAAAGCATTTAAAAGGCAAAGTGCAAAAAACAATGATAATAACATTTACCCTCAAGTCAAGATCAATACAAAATATTGGCACTCTTGTAGAACCCAAAGAAGAGAAAGGAAAATAATAGAAGATTTGGAGCCAGAACTTGCATATTTTTACACAATAGAGAGCTTTTTTTCGTATGAGTGATTGAAATAGCAAGAAGTAAAATTGAAAAACAAAAACGAAACATGTCATGTAAATAACCTTCAACTTCAGCAAAACAGTAACAAATCAAATAATGAAAATTGAGGGGAAAAAAAAAAGTAGACAGTCTTCTGAGCATCACCTGCAGATTTGCTTCGCCTGAAGTTACATCTGCTCCATACAACTTTGAATCTCTCTTGCTCTGACTCTGAGAGGAAAGAAAACACATCTTCCTAAGTTTTAGTGCAATGGATCTCGTTCACAAACTAATTCACATGCCCTAAAAGCAAGCACCAACTTTCGTTCCATGGCCGAGATACAACCATACCTCACAAGGTCTTAACTCATATAGATCCTACTGATTACATTTCATTTGCCCTTTACTTTCTGTTCATGACTTTAGCAAATTTCTCATAAACTGCATCACATGGGTAGTTTTAATTGCTTAAAAGTTGTTCACTGACTTCTATAATAAAGCAGCAAAAGATCATTCATTCATTCATTCTCCACATACTGATAAAAAGAACATAGTAATGATAGTCTGAAAAGGTCAATCCACAGGTATTCTTTTGAAAAGGGGAAAAGGAAACTATTTAAAACTGAAAAGTAAACTCACGAGGATTATAAAATTACGGAAAAATCCCAAAGAGCAATCGACCAAGAAATTAACAGAGCTTAATCATGATAACCCACTTTTCTTGAAAGATTCAACCATCCCCAAAATATGTAATCCAACAAATCATTGAACAAATTATAAGCAAATAAAACAAAATGAAGTCAGTCCCATCCCACCTGTTTCCCATTAGAGAATGGATCGGAGAGATTACGTCTCCGAGAGCTTGTTGAACCAACTCTTTTGGAAGTCGATCCATCGAACCTCTGTGATAATTGGAGCTGTTGAAGAGCCAACGAGAGAGCTTGCTTCTGCAAAAACTCCTCCTCACTCTGCAACTTCCTCTGCGACCGACCCATTCTCCTGCTTTTAGACCCATTCTCGTTCACATCCTTCTTTGACTTGCAAATTAGGCGATTACCCATTTTTCAGAAGCTAATTCCCAGCAAAACCCAGAAATCTTTTCGAACAAAAACCAAGAGAAATCAGACAAAAACGAAGTCTAAGGCGAGAAATTTGGCATTCTCTCCACCCCCTTGCTGGGGTTTTGTTTCCCCATGATTTTAGTTAGCGAGGGCGATAGCGGGAGTGGGTAAAAAGAACAAAAGAGGGAGTTGTTGAATATGAGGTGAAAAAGGGGCGGGCGGGCCGACTTGGGGTTGCAGAATTTCCAAGAGTTTTAATGCTGAATCCGTGTGAAATGTGAAACAATGTTTAGAAATCGCGTTTAATCCTACTTACTGCTAATCAGTGGTACCGACGTGTAACGGGAAAATTTGACTCTCGTGAAGAACAGCTTCAACGGGGAAGACTTGGAAACAGAAATGGCTGAAACTTGGAGGGTAAATATTGATGATGATAATGGTTGTTTTACTTGGTTCAGATAAATCTAGCAGATTTGAGGATAATGAATATTATTTTGTACTCAAAATAATAATTTAATAATAATACCAATCTACTTTTCAAAAAATGCAACTTTTTCACTCAATTCTCTGTACTCTGGCGGTTGCTGTTGACGTTTGACAATTGTGCAAGAAAATTCTCTGTTTTGTCTTTTGTTTTGTTTCTTTTCAATTTCGAACGGTGAAGTTAAAAGAGCTTTCTTTTGATATTTATTTTAATCTCAAACGCTCATGAACATTCCTCGTTGGTTTTTTTTTTTCTTTTTAAAGTTTAATATGGAACACTCAAAGTTTTAGCAACCACCCACCCTCTTTTCTTTATGGACTTGTAAATTATTTTATATAAATGGTTACCTATCACTTTTTCGATTTTTATGATTCAATCTCTCAAAATTGAACCAAATTATACCTCACCATCTGAGGAGGAAAGGATTCTTTAATTTCTTCGATCACCCAAAAAGATTAATTTCAAATCATTGAACAAAGTATAAGCAAATAAACCAAAGACGATTAATTCTAAATTTTTGCATTCTACATTGACTTAGAGAAGCGATCTTTGATTAACCTCCACCATGTGATTCTCGAACCACAAAACCTACAATGACTACAGAGGCACCAGAATGTTCCTCTCTATGTCATCCAACATGAACATGTCGTTTTCAACCCATATGCAGAAAAAATTATCATCAATACAACAACTACTAACTTCCATGCTTATGTAACTCGTAGAAACACGTGCAATAAAGCTAAGAACACATTAAGCACCTGCTAATAATTGGGAAATTCTTCACCAAAGAAGAAACCGAAGGGGAGGAGAGGGGAGAGAACAGAGCATACTTAACTTTTTATGTCCCAAAACCACTTATTTCATGCAGATGTTTGGCTTTAATTCTCTTTCATCACCTCTTCTAGTAAGAAAAGGCAATCCTTTGGCAATACTTATCAAGAGAGCAAATATTTGGTCCATTTGGAGACAGAAATTCTAGGCTCTTTGATTGAATTTATTTCTTTTTTGGCCTAAAATGATGCTCTCCTTTTTGACAACTATAGCTTGAAATTCTAGGCTCTGTGATAATTTCATACATCATCAAAGAATTTGTTTCCTATAAAAAAATGTTTGCTCAATTTCATAGCTATAGTGGAGATCAGTCATTGCTTAGTGAATGCATTTAGTTTTACTTATTCTACTGATGTGTGTCTAGTTGTTTACTTCTGTCATTTTCTTCCTCAGGTTTTATCCCTATCATTATGCACTGTTTGCTTCTGATCTCAAGGGTCATGGTGAGCTGAATATTTCATTTAAAGTGGGCACACTCCATTCAAGCCATTCAATCAGCTACTGTGTGTTTTCCCTACTGCTAGGTCTGTGCTATTCTTCTTTTAAATGGAATTTCCATTTATTGAAGGTTCTTACCTACATTCTCTTTGCCGTAGTACTCAAAAGGGAGATTGATATATATATATATTTTTTTTTTGGTGGGGAGATTGATAAGAGACTAGGATTCATTAATGAAGGAAGGAAGAGAGCACACAAGAGAAAGGGAGGAGACAAGGCATTTCCTCCCTAAGTATTAATGAAATGGGATTTTGATTTACAAAGCATCCTCGATCTAGAAATACTCAATCTAGGAATACCATCATGGGTGGCTCATTGGTCGAAAGTACCATCATGATGGTCACTTACCTTAGGAATTAGTAATTTCTATGTGTTTCCTGGCACCAAATAATGTTGTAGGATCAGGCGGTTGTCCCGTAAGATTAGTCGAAGTGCGCATAAACTGGCCCGAACATTCACGGATATAAAAAAAAAAAAGTATTAAAAGTTTTATGTATTTTCACGACAGTGTGTTGTTCAGTTTTATCGAAACTGTTAAATTCTCTAGTCTTTAATTTGAGAAGTACTTAAAATGTTTGGGGGAGATTTGCCCTCCAGTATTCAAGTTACGAGACTTTTCAGGGTGAAACCGTCTTAGGCTTTTTTTTCTGCGTAATAACACTAACAACATTTGGCTTTTTGTCGAGTTAACCCATGAATCGCTTATCGGTATTACGCTTCCGAGGCTTTTTTTTTCTTTTAAGTTGTATTTCTATTAGAGTTCGTGGTTGTAATATTTTTAGCATTAAACTATTCTAATCTTGAGGGAATTCAGAGTTGTAGCAATTTATTTACAATTTTGAGGCATTTGTGCTTTCTTTAGACTGAATCATGATCAATGTAATATGCTCTTAGAGTATCAATAAACTCTTTTTTATTTGTGGTAGGTTTGGCTTCAACTAAGATTCCAAGTATTAAACTGAAAATGTTATTGGAATTGGAATTCATGGGCCATGAGCAGAGATTGGTGTTGACTTGCAAGTATTGAAAATAAGCGAATCTCAGGTGAACAAGAAATTTCATATCAACTAAGTTGGAAATCAAACCAATAGCTAAAAGGTAGTAAAAATAGAGGATTCATACAGAAAGTTGTTTTAATAGAGTTGTGAAAGCCGACTCCTTACATGGCCTATTCCCACAAATTCTCCAGAGTCTGCGCCCACCCCAAAACCAGCTCCAAGAGAATCAATGAGATTATCAACACATACAACTAAATGGAGCTTTTAGCACTGAAAGAGGGTTTTACAACCTACAAAGCAAGCATCCAACACTAACACCATACAATCTCTACATTCCTAAGCATCTTTACACAACCACCAGAAACATAACAGATAGAACAAGTAAGGCTGTTGCGACGAATCTGGGAAAAGAGAACACTGATGAGAGATCTGATCCCTAACCAGACATGTACGACATAGCCCGCCTGAAATCCAATGACTTCAGAGCTGATTCTGGGAAATGATTCCCGCCGGGTACCCATAATCCTTTATTTTGCAGCATTACTTGCGGTTGGCAACCATTTGAACCATCCTGGCCAGCAGTTGACGAAGAAGCTTCGTTCTTCTTCTTTACAAATGCAAAGAATTCGGCAACTTGACGAGCATACCTTCAACAAGCCAACATACGAAGCAAATAAAAATCAAATAAAATAAACATATTCATGTTAATATCAATAAAAATACCCAAAAAACTGTTTATAGACTTAATTTTCGAGGCTGAAATATGATGGTTGCCTTAAAACAATAAGAGAGTGTCCTTCAAATGAAAGTAATAGCAAGCTACCGATCTCTCCCCGATGATCAAATGCAATAGATACAACATAAAACTCAACTTACTGTCTCTTAGCTTCAATGTCTTTGCTGAAATCAATGTTTGGTTCGCAATCAAGAACCAAGGCAGGGACCTGCTTACCACAAGAAGATCAAAAATTAAAGCGAACGAAGAAAATCACAACTTCCTTTCAGCTGCATATAAAGGAATTCAAAAAATAGTGTGCATCATTGTGGAAAGATCACCTTTTGAATACTTCTATGCATATGGTCACCCTCCAAGAAGAAGACACGATCCCTGATATCGGGGTGTAAAGATCTGTCTAGATGTAATGGTAGCTTACTGACAGATAGAACCCCATGGTTACCACTTTGGAAAGGGAAAAGCCAGCTTTCATGCTTCTCGTGCAAGTCACAGAGATACTCCAAACTGACCCCACCTTCTTCAGCTCTCTTTCGTAGCTTCATTCTTTGGTGACAAGTATCAGGGCTTGCTCTAAGATAGATGAAACCATCGGGAATTAGCCCGGGCAAGGTCGACACAACTGGATCAAACCATGAGTCGTAAATGCTGATCTCCATCTCATTCATCCAGTTTGCTTCATGGACAGCTCTCACAAACACCTTTGTTAGCATCAACGAAACATATGTATCAGCCTTTAAATTAAAGTCTCTTCTCAAATTTCCAGCCAAGTAGGAAAAAGGAAAAAACTGCAGGGTATGTAGCATGTTCATGAACCTGATAGACCCCAAATCTATCACTAAGTACTATAAACGTAGGCGTGTAAGACAACAAGAAGCCATGTAGGCAGGGTGTGTGTGGGCCCTAGGAATTTTGTTAGTTAGAAGGAATGATGTGTAAGGGTTGTGACGTGGGAAGGGGAGAGGTTAAAATAGAAGTTTGTTGAGGGGAGGGGTATCTTCTTGGTCATTGAGAAGTTTGTAAGGCTCATTGAGTCCTTGAGGGAGAGTTGGGGAGCTCTCAAATCTCCCTTGTTTTGATGCTCTGTTTTGATAAATAATAATGAGCCCTATCAAAACCATGATCATTAATGTAACTGCACAACTTTACAACAGAACAAGTTCAGACTATATTTAATGACAAATCATGGGGCCATGACAGAAGAAAAGATCTAATCTACAAAAACAGAACACTAGATTACAGATGATATGTCTTCTTACCATCCTGTCGCTGAAAACGCTCCTTTCCATTAACCTGAGCGGCTTGATTCCACCAGAAGACTCTCTCTCCTGCATAACCCTTGTCACAAACACATAATTCTGGAAAGTGTAGGCATATCTTTCAGGCTCTGCATAAAAGGCATCTAGTATGTTGAAGTGATCAGGTCCTATATCCTGCCACTTGTCAATAGGTTCTGGAACCACCTCAACCAGGTCCTGTAGCTCGAGGGTTTCATTAGCTATTCTTTGGAGGAATGTTGTCTTTCCCACACTTATATTTCCCTCCACACAGAATGTAATCCGTTTCTTCTGAGATGGCTTTGCATCCGAGTTTGAACTGTCCTCGGTCAGTTCTTTATCGACAGTGTCTTTTATATAAGTAGTTATACTTTCAGCATGATTTCTGTGGATAATTCCAACAGAACTCTGTAAGAACTCAACCATCTTCGGGCTAGAATCACCAAAGAACTGCAAAAAGGCAGGAAGTGCTTTTCATGAAAGCTTTAATAATGCTCACCTAGCTATATCACTAGATGTTCTCTAAGTATATATTAATCAGCCAAGTAATCCTGGTTTGTTCAGAAATTTCCTTTTTACAATATAAGAAACTGTCAGAAGAGCAATGTCTAGCCTCCAAGTCCAAATCACCCTTACACACAAACACCTAGCAATTAGATTTATATTGTTGAATATGTGAAAATACTTAAAGCAACAGTAGTGAAATGTATAGCAAATGAATGGAACTTCATGGACTTGGCAATAAACAGAAATTTCAAAACATCTACATCAAAATGTAAACTAAGGACTCCAAATTAGAGCAAGTTTGAGATGGTACTTTTAATTAACTAAAAACACTTTTCACTTTTCCCTCACCGTCATTCATCTTTAAATCCACACACATGAAACCACAATGCTTCTATCTTCTAGCAGTACATGAAACTAAAAAAATTTAATATCAAGCATAAAAGAACGCAAAAACTAGACTCATAATGTAGTATTTTTGAAACCCAAGTGGCCAGACATTGTTCACCTTATCTCTATACAACTGCTTGAGCTCAGCCACTCCTCCAATCCCCTTCTCGACCAGCTTCTTCAAATTCCTCGGACCAACTCCTGGAATAGTCAACAAATCAGGATTACCAACTAACACGCCTCCGCCAGACAAACCCTTCTGCCTTCTAGTCGCCTTCAACGCCTTTTCCTCAAAAACCTTCCCACCTTCTCCACCATTATCATTATCACTAGCCAAGCCATCTCCATCGCCATCATCATCACCAGCCACAGCAACTCTCGAGCTCTTCAGGCCCTCAACGGCGGAAGAAGAAA